GTATATTTTCAATTTCTTTTCTGAATACTACCAGCAATCTAGCACCTGCAACTTCAAGATTTATTATCCACAATACAGATCATTAGGGAATATATGTGTGTTTAACAAATGTATCCTTTTTTTCTAGTGGACATGGAACAAATGAACAACAATGAGTATGATATCAAAAGGCAACAGCAAGCGTTTAATCAAACGATGTATTGCGTTATATTGCGTTGGAGAAGAAAAGCAGCTTTTTAATTGGGAAGGCATTACGTTACGTTGCGTTCGAGAAAAGCAATTTCTTAATTGGGAAGTTCAGCAAAATCTAGCCGTAAATATGGAATGGACGTTTATGATTTGAGGAACGGCAAAGTTTGCCGTTGTGCCCAAAGGCAGGGGATGCGAACCCGAAGCGTTTATAGGAGCGCCACATGGCGGTTTAGTAGCGTTTGTACGAAGTTTAACGTGCTTTTAGTATATAATAGATATCCTCGGTTGTCCGCAAGCACTTTCCAGTTTCAGGGCATGGTACCATCTTGTCGTAGTAAAATATTTCTTCAGTGCAGGGTTCAATCTTTCGTTTTCGGCTTTTGTATTGGAGGGTGTCGATATAGCAAAATTTCTGAAATTTTGGTATGATCTTATTCGATTTTTAACAAAATGTGGCCAAATTTGAATAAATACTATCAAATTCAAAAAATGAAAAAAAACTGGCCGCAATAATATCATATGTGGGGGGGGGGGGTTCCAATAGGACCGGAATTTCGGATATTTCATTCCGGAATTTTGAACCCTGCTTCTGGGTCCACTGGCAGATCGTACTGATCAGACATTAGGGACACCTTGGCTTGATGTAGATGAATTTTTATATTTATGGCAAGGATTGAAGATAGCATTTTCAAAGTAAGCACTTGCTAGCCCTCCATAGAGTCTTCAACGACACACTATTCATTGGTTCCTTTCGTACAATTATACATAATATATGAACAATGACAAAATTAACCATATATGCAAGAACGCTAATTTTCAAATATTAATTTTAAATAATTCTGCGTGTGTGGGAGAAAAATATGAGCCATATGTTAAAACGGGGAATACATGATGAAAACCATCAAATAAATAAAAACCTGACATATAAGTTCTCTGAATTATTGCGAAAATCGCTAAACAGGTATAGGCATGAACTATGTCACCACCAAATCTAATGTTCAAACCAACTTCATGTGCGAGGGAAAAATTAAATTTGTTAAGTCACAATTTCAGAGGAATGCCGGCCTGTTACTTTGAAATTAACAGTCCTTTCGGAGGAAGATCACCAATTGCAATTTACATGATCTTTTGTTAGCTCTTAAGGAATCGAACTCGTGGATAACCCCTCTACCCAGTACATTAGTTAACTTGCAATTTGGCATCAAATGATCAGCAACTACTTAATTAGAAACTGATGCAGCTATAGCATGCACAGTATAAACTGTTTTATATGCATGTCCCATTGTCACATGTCTGCTATATATGAGGGTATCCTCTTTTCAAATAGAAGTACACATTTTTACATGTCAAATTGTCAAATTGCCGCGAGGTGGCGTCGCGCGTGCCGGCATTACGCACCTCACCGCGCCACGGCAACCCTCCGCTGCCGACGCCCACACCTTCTCACGTCGTGCCGCCTCCGCACTGCTCCACTCCATGGCGTCGTTCCCAGCCCGCCACCCCGCCCCACCCTGGCTGGATCCAGTTAGGGGATGACCAAATCCCACAAAAGCAGCGTCAGATCTACCGCCTTCTTGAGGGGAGGGCCCGCCGTTGGCTTTTGCTGCCTCCCCCGCACCTGAGAGGGGGCAGTGGTGCTAGAGTTTTGCCCCCTCCCTCCCCCGCGTGTCACCCACGCATGCCCGACGCGGGGGGAGGAGGGCTACAGTACTGAGTTATCCCTGTTTGACTTAATTATGAAGTTGCCTTGATTAAAGAGGGGAGCTCTGATCTACCTAGTACTGTGTAGCTTGCATTTGATGCAGTATTAGCCTTGCGATTGGATTTGCAGTCTGTGCAGGGACGCTTTTGAGGATGCAACACATCTTGCAAAAAGAATGCGACTTCACAAAAGCAGTCTGGATTCTGGAATCAAATCTGCGATTGGCAAGGTTACCAACACTTCAATTTCCATTCCGATTCTCAGTCAATTTTCTGACTGGATAGAAACTCTAGCTACCCATCAGGCAAAAAAGTGAAAGAAAGAAAATCATAGGAAACCTGCTAACCACTTGGTGGCATGTTTGGCTGGAGCGAAACCGATGGATTTTCCAGCAAAGATCGCAATCGGCGATCCAAGTAGCTTTCTTGATAAAGGACAATATAGACCTTTTGTAATTTGTTTCTGTCTGGCTTCCTTTTTTAAGGAGGTCCTAGATGTTTCAAGGCTCTCTCCAGAGCTTTGCATTGTTCTTGTTTTAATCCAATCTTTCCTTCCAATATGTCCGGCAATGCTCTTGATGTCTAATAAGCTTTTTTTTTAAAAAAAACATATGTCCATCCTCAAAAGTGCAACTGTAGCACAGAGTGTGGCATTCCAGCCTACCAGCAACCGCTACAGACCTCATATGTTCCTAGATATTCAATTGCCACCAGTGGTGAGAAATGTAATGTACTCACTTAAGCAGGTACGGTGGAAATCTGAAGGCCCACCGGGGCGTGGTGGCATCCTAAGTTCGTAGCACATTTCTATGTGGGTCCACCGGCAGATTTATGGGTGATGATTTTTTATATTATTTTGAGGACTGAAGATCACAATTTTACTGTAAACACCATATTTTGATATTTTCTTCAAAGCTTGTACATTAATTGCTAGTTTCTTTTCATGCGTGTATAATGTATCAACAAGCACAAAATGAATGTGATAATAATATGCATTAATTTTAGATATAAGTCCAATAATGCTACTCGGTACTTGCACAAAGTGCACGATTGTCAGAAGTGACAAATGCTGACCTTTAATTTTCGATACATGCATGGATGCATATTATTTATTTCATACATAATATATCGACAATGACAAAATAGACATTATATGCAAATACGTTAATTTCAAATATAAATTTAAAATAATTCTACGTGTGCGGGAGAAAAATATGAGCCATGCATGTGTTAAAACGGGGAATAGATGATGAAAACCATCGAATAAGTGAAAACCTGACATATAAGTTCTAAGGAAAAAGTCCAAATTACCCTCCTAAACTTAGGATGAAAGTCCGTGTAGCACCCTAAACTTTAAAACCGGACATTCAACCCTCTAAACTTTATAATACCGTTTTTATAACCCCTAAGATGGTTTTGTATCGTGGTTTTTATCTAATTTGTATATAAGTTGGATGAGTTTGATCACATGTCATACGCTTTAGACATATATATTAAAATTTTGACTTAAATCTTTCTGTTTGCTCCTTATTAGCTCTCACTTACAAACAAGTACCAATATAATAATAGTATGACACCACTATATAAAAATAAATTGATGATTTATAACTGATGATATTCAAATATGTTATATTAGTTAGTAAAAATTATTTGTTTAAGCTTCTAAAATATGCAAAACCATCATCCAAAACCACCTTATGGGGTAATATGAATGGTATGGTAAAGTTCAGGGGGTTGGATATCTGGTTTTAAAGTTCAGGATGCTAGACGGACTACCATATAAAGTTTAGGGGGTATTTGGACTTTTTCCAAGTTCTAAATTCATGCAAAAATCGCTAACAGGTATAGGCATTAATATGTCACCACCAAATTTTATGTTCAAACCAACTTCATGTGCGAGGGAAAAAACAAATTTGTTAGCTCACAATTTCAGAGGAATACTTGTTACAATTCGAAATTAACAGTCCTTTCAGAGGAAGCTCACCGTTTATGACATACTCCCTCCGTTCCAAAAAAAATTAAACATAGAAAGGGATGTGACATTTTCTAGTACAACGAATCTAGATAAATGGTTGTCTAGATTTATTGTAATAAGATATGTCATATCCTTGTCTAGGTTGTGTTTTTCTGGAACGGAGGGAATAGTACAAACTGATTTATATATGGGGATCTATGCAAATAGAACTACACATTTGCTATGGACTGAAAAACACAAAACTATTCAATTTTGCCCTTCCATGGTACATGTATGTATATGGATCTGCAACCGACACTACTGGAGAAACCATATTTCCCCAGTCGATAAAAAACAAATAGTCCAGGTTTAAAACTCTATCGGTCCTAGATGATCTTTAGTCTCGGTTGGTGACTAAAGATCATATTTAGTTCCGGTTCATTTACAGTCAGATTTAGTCAGGGGGCCGGGGATCTTTAGTCTCGGTTGGTATTATTATCAACCAGGACTAAAAATCCATATACAATATATAATCCCTAAAACTTATCCTCCAAACTCCTCGTCTTCCCTCTCTCAGCAGATCGTTCTTATCATCTCATCTCCCCTCTCTCTCTTATCCCTTACGGCGTTCTTATCCTATCTTCTTCTGCCGCAGATCAAGGAGCGAGAGGCTGGCGCACGGCGGCGGCGCCCTGCGCGTGCCAGAGCAGGTTGGATTGGCGGCGGAAGATGCGGCGGCTGCCTCTGGCCGTGGTTGGTGGCAGTCGGGCTGGGGAGGCGGCGGCGGTAGGCAGCGGCCGGCGGGGCCGCGCGATCCCGGCGGCGACCAGCGGGGCCAGTATGGAGGGGCCGGCCAATGGAGCCGGTGCGGAGGGGCCGGCACGCGGGCGTTTTTCCCTTTTTTTTTCTTTTTTCCTTGTTAATCTGTGAATGATTGTTTGTTGAGAAGAGTTGTGATGATTGTTTGTTGAGAATGATTGTTTGTTGAGAATGATTTTTTCATTCGATCTATGATTTGAAGATGAGAATGTTGTTGTGATTTGAGAATAAATGTTCATCTTTAGTCCCGGATTCGTAGTCAGGAGGTTCCCAAGCGAGACTACAAAGCCTTTCTCTAGTAGTTCCCATGGATATATATCAAAGGCCAGGAGGATGAGCGATGCATGAGTGATGAGTCGACATTAAGATCCATCCAAACAAGAGCGAAAACCAAAGTAAAATTTGGATTGGGAGGCAACAGGATTGTCCGACATATGTAGCTCGAGATTTTAACTTTGCTTCGGGGCTTGCAGAGAAAAAAGCAATGCAGTAGCACGGAGATATCCCCATCACGACGACCGGATGGTTCTTCTGCCTCTCAATGCGTGCGATTCGCACGTTACCGAGGACTGCATTTCGTGTAATGGAGAAGACCGTGCATAACCAGCTTTCTCGCAAACTCTCTGCTACTAACATTTTGGATGAGCAGAGATTGGAGGCGCGGCAGCTGAATTGCTGAAATAACTGCATCTTCTTTCATTCTGTCAAGATCACAAATATGCAGGGCAGAATGGGTTATTAACATGACAACGACAATGTGCATCTCATCTTCTAAATGCCTTTCTGATCAACCAAATATTTTTTTCTCTCTCTTTCAAACATGATCTCTGCGCAGCATGTAGTTCTGCTCTTGTTACTGTAACTTTTAGCTTGGCAGCGCCCTACGAACGATAATTTTGCTTCTTTTTTAGCACCAGTTATATATACGTCATGTAAAATGTTGTAGTACACTCCAGATCATCATTACATTGCGTTATACGCTTTTTTAGAAAATACTCTTCTCGCTGGGGAAAAACAAGGATGTATATTCAGTGAAAGTTCTTTTTTTAAGGTTGCAAATTGTGTGTGTGTGTATATATATATATATATATATATATATATATATATATATATATATACTCTCTCCGTATTTTAATGTATGACGCCATTGACTTTTTAACCAACGTTTGACTACTCGTCTTATTCAAAATTTTTATGCAAATATAAAAATACTTACGTCATGCTTAAAGAACATTTGATAATAAATCAAGTCATAATAAAATAAATTATAATTACATATTTTTTTTGAATAAGACGAAATATCAAACGTTTGTCAAAAAGTCAACGGCGTCGTACATTAAAAAATTCCAGAGGGAGTACTTCTATTGTAGGGAAATCATTTGTTGGCTCTAACTAATGCACGTTGGTGGTAACCGGTAGGCTGGTACTGTAACTTCCACATGCAGTGCTCATTTATTCACATTATATATGAGCAACTGCGGTATGCTACATCAATAATCAGCAACTGCTCATTTTAGTAGAAACTTATGCGGCTGTATAGTACGCATAGTACAAACCGTTTTATGACTGACAATATATATATATGCTTGTAAATGTCAGTTCTCACCATGTTGCTATCTATGAGGGTGAAATTTATTCACATTATATAGCTGATCAATTCATTGCCTAGCTATGTTTGTACAATGCCTGCCTATATAAAATTCAGAGCCCCATGCATGTGTAACAATGATACATAAAGTTCCGATGACAAAGCTTATTCGCTCCTTAGTTCAGAGAACTCGTTTATTATTAGGACATGTGTGCAGTGGTAGATTTGGGAGGCATCGGGACTGTCTGACATACCAGTGGTTTGTATCAAACTTCTTCTATGTTTCGGTGATGTTCTCGTACAGAGGCGAAACTGTCTCGATGTCCATGTCTTATCTTCACCCATGATCGAGATCTGCGAGCCCTAGATGCATGATACCGTGCAGCTTGCAACCTACTTCACCAGGTCATCTCGGTGTAACGTCAAGCTATATCTTTGATTCACTTTGTCAACTTCCTTAGTGTAGTCGCAACAAAACTATGTTGAGTGGAGTTGGCCAAATGTGTGTCATTGCATATTTTTCTACAGATGAGATGAAGCCACCTTAATTTGTACTAAAAATAATAACCATCCATCCATCAAAAAAATCATCAACAACTTGTCACGAGATCAATTTTTGCTATACATATAATTTTTTTTAAACAGTTATACATATAATTAACACGGACCTGTAAGAAATGGCCCATGGACAGCGTGATGGAGCCAGATGGACACCACTTGGCTTTGGCCCTGACTCATGACAAGTCAGCAAATGCTGGTTGAATTTTTATTACTTTCAGTTCTTGTATGTACTTATAGAGTATCTGTGCCATATTATAATCGATAAACTCAAATTATTTCATACGATTTGGCATGATCATTATAAATGCCATGCATAGATAAAACAGCAAGAATACTTTGTGTCATAGAAGTATCACTTAAAATGCTGTGACACAGAGCCACTGAGGTGATATTTTGCTTGTAGTATAGTGTAATATTTAATATAGGAAAAAGTACGAATTACCCCGCCCCCCGAAGTATCGCGGTCGTCTGAATTACACCCCTGAACCACAAAACCAGACATTCTTCACCCCCAACTATGCAAACCGGACGAATTACCCCCCTCAACCCAATCCGCGATGTTTTTGGTGTACGTAACAGTCCAGTCAGCAATTTATTTAGTAAAAAATAGGTGGGCCCCACCTGTCAGTCTCTCTCTCTTATCTCTACTATCTCTCTCTCTCCTCCTTCACACGGCCCAGCAAGTCGAGGCAATGCGGCAGCGAGGCGAGGCGAGGCAGTGCGGCGGCGGAGGAGGCGCGGCGGCGAGGCGAGCGACGGGAGCGGAGGAGGCGAGGCGGTAGCGGAGAGGCGAGTGCGGCGGCGGCGAGGCGAGCGACAGGAGTGGAGGAGGCGAGGCGGCGGCGGAGAGGCGAGCGCGGCGGCGGCGAGGCGAGCGGCGGGGGCGGAGGAGGCGAGGCAGCGGCGGCAGCGAGGCGAGCGACGGGAGCGAAGGAGGCGAGGCGGCGGCGGAGAGGCCAGCGTGGTGGCGGTGGGGGAGGAGGCGCGGCGGCGAGGCGAGCGGTGGGGGCGGAGGAGGCGAGGCGGCGGCGGCGAGGCAGGGCGGCGCAGGGGCGGGTGCGAGCGGCGGTTGGGTGCCGAGCGGTGGCAGCGGCTTCTCTACCCTCTCCCACCCGGGTGCTGAGGAGGTCGTCCTCCTCCGCATCACCGCATGCTGCAGGTGCTCGCCGCTGCTTCGCTCCTGTCCGACGACCACGTGGGCGAGGCGAGCGGCGATGGCGAAGTCAGAAAGGAGACGGAGGCGAGGCGGTTGGCGAGGGGACGACGTCGCCCCTTCTCGTCTCGCGCCGCCTCCTTGTCTCGCGCAGCCGCCTCGCCCCGCACCAGCAGTCGCCACCCAGCCGCACCCGTCAACTGCCTCGCCGCCGCTGCTGCCTCGCCTCCTCCACCGCCGCGCTCGCCTGCTCGCGGCAACGTCGTCCCCTCGCCAACCGCCTCGCCGCCGCTGCCGCTCACCTCCTCCGCCGCCGCCGCCACCTCGCCTCGCCTCGCCGCTGCCTCCTCCGCCGCGCTCGCTGCCTCCGCCGCGCTCGCCTCGCCGCTGCCTCCGCTGTCGCCGTCTGGAGGAGAGAGAGATAGAAGAGATAGAAGAGAGAGAGACTGACAGGTGGGGTCCACCTATTTTTTAATAAATAAATTGCTGACTGGACTGCCACGTAGACCAAAACCACCGCGGATTGGGTCAGGGGGGTAATTCGCCCGGTTTGCATAGTTGGGGGTGAAGAATATCTGGTTTTGTGGTTCAGGGGGGTAATTCGGACGACCGTGATAGTTCGGGGGGTAATTCGTACTTTTTACTTTAATATATATAGCCTTGGAAAGCATCGATAAATTTTCGCTCTATGCCAATAGCAGGTGGTATAAAAGCAGATATTGTTCTTGCTGAAAGAGATCATTCAGGCAAATGTGTGGACTGGAAAAGAAGGGGATGAAGCTCGTTATCTGCTTGAACTATACGATATATACCAGTGCTGAAATCGAAACCTTTTCGCATGCGTTTGATTCGACCAGCATCACGAGATGTAGAATGTATTTTCCACTGATAACAACAGCTAGCTAGTGCCACACAATCGCTAAGGAGGCAAACAGGACTAATCATAAAGAGAAAATCCATGAAATGCCATTGACAAACACCCTAATCCAAGAAATGCCATCGACGAACGCGACTTCCAGGAAATGCCATCGTACGAGCCATTTTGTCCCAAAAATACCATCGCCGTCACTTTCACTCTGTTAGACACTGTTAATTTTGTCAAAATGACCAAATTACCCTCCTCAACAAAGGATAAATCCCCTTCTCTTCCATCCCATCGCCGGCCACCATTCCTCCCCTCCACTTCAACCTCCAGCTCCCGATGGGCAACAGCGGCAAGGCGGCGCTCCCAGGCGGTGGCGCGTCAATTCCAGGCGTCGACGCGACGGGCGGCGAGGAGGTGGTAGGTGGTGGCGCAGGGCTCCCAGGCGGCGGCGTGTGGCTCCCAGGCGGCGACACGGTGGTCCCAGGCGGCGGCGCGTCGGCAGCAAGCGCGGGGCTCCCAGGCGGCGGTGCGGTGGTCCTAGGCGGCGGCGCGTCGGCAGCAGGCGCGGGGCTCCCAGGCGGTGGCGGCGCGGCGGTCCCAGGCGTCGATGCGACGGGTGGCGAGGAGGTGGCAGGCGGCGGCGCATCAGTCCCAGGTGGCGGCGCGGGGCCCCTAGGCAGCGGCGCGTCGGCAGCATTCGTCCGCATGGTGGTCCCAGGCGTTGACACGACGGGTGGTGAGGAGGTAGCAGCCGGCGGCGGCGCGTCGGCAGCAGGCATCCGCACGACGGTCCCAGGCATCGACGCATTGGGGGAGGTTGGCTGGCGATGGCGAAGCTGCTCTTCTTCTGCTGCGGCGCGGCGGTCGCCGCCGTGCCAGGCCACTTTGCGAGCACGCGGCGGCCACTGCCGACGCCGCGTACGACGACGTCGTGGACGCGTACCATGGGTTCATGCGGTCGCGGACGCGCGGGTTCCTCGTCATCCACCACGCCCCGCTCGAGCCGCGCGTCCGCTGCCCCTACTGTGGCGCCCGCGTCTGGAGCATGACCGCCGCGGGGCTCGCCCGCCTCTCCTCCTCTTCCTCCAGGGATAGCGAGCGAAGCGCCGACTCCGACTCCAACCACAACGCGGACGAGACATTCGCCACTGCCGATGTGACCCTCCCACTTCCTCTGGCTGTCCGCGTGTCAGGCCGACGCCTTCGACGCAGGCCGGCCATGCATGTGACGCATCAAGCATTAGCAGTAGTTTTTTTTTACCGGTGGATTGGGATAGTATTATTTGGAGCGAGGGCAATTTAGTCATTCTTGTAAAATGTTTTGTTCTAACGGTGTGGACTAACGGTGTGATGGCATTTCTGGGAGAAATAAGCTTGTACGATGGCATTTTCAGGAAGTTGTGTTTGTCGATGGCATTTCTGGGATCAAGGTGGTTGTCGATGGCATTTTATGGATTTTCTCATAAAAGTTTGATAACGTCACATGAAAGAAAAATACTAATAACTTAAGTGCACGATAAACATGTCGATTCCGACGAATTGACTGGTTTGCTTTGTTTACCTAATTTACTTTTATATATCATTGTTCGTTAGTCCCGCATTCATATTTGTTATTTCTCGACTTGATGATCTTATATTCTGTGTTCAATATTCTTAACTGTTATACTGGTTAAATAATTCAACGCTCGATCTAGAGAATAAAGCACTTACATCCGGAAGGAGAGTTCTCCATTGAACTGGCAACAGGAGGAACGGTGCTGGCCGTGCTGCCGACGATAACAAGCAGGACGATGACCAGCGACAGGCGGGATGACATAGAGCAATCTTGTAGGCTTGTCGACATTAATTTGACCGGAGCTACCATCCCCTGCGCTTCGAAGGCCTAGAGGGAGAGAAGCTATTTCACCCATGGGCACGCATCCCCACGTCTTATATACGGAGGACTCAAAATTAATTTCTATTTTTTCTACTCCGTCTGTCCATATAAAAGTGTAGTTTTAGTTTAAGAATTGGACCCTAAAATTGATTGTGTAGTTTTATAATGATACGCTAAATCTAATTCAATAGTGCTATTACATCCTTTTCTTTGTTGTTTTTAGCCATTGAACCAGATGCCTCCTTATTTCTCCCACCTTATTTTCTCCATATTAATGAAATCATAGTAGTGTTTTAATATCTTTCTTAATACTCTCTTCATTTCTAAAAAAATATTATTTTAGTTAGTTAAAGACAAGTTAAACAAAAGGTAAATAATTACAATTACTTGTACCCTTCATATAGAATAAGGAGAGGTGAAAACAAGCATCGGAGAAGGAGCTACTGTTATTAGTTTTGTGCTTAAATGAAGTAGAAATCGACGAAGCAGCATTAAAAAGTTTCTTTGTAACCAAAAATTACACTCTTTATGGAGCAAAATTTGATACCGAAACAAAACTTTTTTTTAAAGGACAGAGAGACAAAGTAGAATTTTACTAATTTATTAGAGCATCACATGGAAACATAGGAACGTTTGCAGGATGTCATATGGCGGATTAGGAGCATTTTTAGGAAGTATACATAATGGATACATCTAATCTAATGTTCTAAAACATCGATCGGGTCCGCCAATTTAAATGAAAATCAACGGTGATATTTACGTAAATTTATAGAGTAAAATATTTTATCTTTAAATGATAGAAAATCCTATTTTAAATATCATCAATTTTTTCCCATGGTGCTAAGTACGTATGGTTTTTTTTTCTTATTGATTTTATAGTAATTCTGTGCGCAGCTTTTTTTTCTTTTGACGCGAACAATAGGTAGGCTTTATTGGTTACTTCAGTTGTGTTTCTCCCATATACGTACGTAATAGAGTAAGGAATTAGTTTCTTTAAAATAAAATAAAATACATCTAATCTAATTGTCTAAAATACCGGGTCCACCGATTTAAGTAAAAATCTAATCTAATGGTCTAAAATATTGGGTCCACCAATTTAAGTTAAAATCGACGGTTAGATTAGATAGAGCCACTTGGCGACCTAGGAGCGTTTGTAGGAGTTTCACGTGGCGGCTTGAGAGCGTTTGTAGGAAGTTTAATGGACTTTTAGTATGTATATAATAGATAGATAGATAGATAGATAGATAGATATATTGATTATTTGAAAAGCATTAGCAGGCAGGCAATGGAAATATTATTTCCTTAGTAGGAATACATCATAAGTTATTACATACTACTACATACTATAGTTCTAGACGATCACAGATGTGGGACGAGTTAAAAGATGACACGAACTAAAATATACGGAAATTTACAAAAACCACAGTATAAAACACTTGAAATTTGATATTCCATCCCATAAATTATGTTGCTATAAATTTCTACCCTCCTAAAATCCTACTGTTGTGTCCAGAAAACCATCCCAGTACGTACGTGTTTGACCAAATCAACATGTTTTCATAAACAAGGAGCTGTCAAAATTAAAAAGTTTTAAAGATTCCCACAAACATAATTGCGGATCAGATCTTAAACGTTATTGCACTGAGTTTAGCTATTAACAAAATCAATACAGTGAAACATAAAGAGTGGTCTAATATAAGCACCTAGACAAGATTAACTCGGCTAGTTTAGCATATGGTGGCACAATATCAGTGATAACGGGCTGATTTGATTAATCACGTTTGTATTGAAAGATTGTTGCAACAAAACTGGGTGGTGGGAGGCTTTTCCAACAAAATTACTTATAGGGTGAAACATCAAACGTTAAATGACTTTTGGGGTGGTTTGAAATTTTCCCTGAATATATATACGTTTTTCACCTCGCTCCCTTTACCATCTGCTACTTAAGGCAAATGTGCACCCTGTTGCTCCGTGGCTGGCGCGTGATTCATGTTGTGACATGGCGGTTGGGGACAATACGGGGAAGGAGCTTGACCAGGACAGATGGGAGATGGATTGGTGGGGTCCAAGGTACCTGCACGAGAAATAAAAATTTACTCCTGCAGCAACGTAATCCAGGTTTAAAAATGCGCCCAAGGCAGGTTTGGAAACCAGCACCCTATCCCAGTTAGGAACCAATAGTATTTGCATAAGGTTTTGTTTGCTTAATCCCCTAAGAGAGAAGGATTCGGGGCGAGTAAGAGAAAATAATTCCACACTAAAATAGAAGCGGAATAAATCTCCTTCAAATCCCTTCAATCCCCTTATGGGAGAGTAACCAAACAAGTATTAAGGACTTGTTTACTCAATCTATAAATAAGAGGATTTGAAAATGAATAATTTTATATTTATCGAGGTGTAGAATTAATCTCTCTCAATACCCTTGAATATCTTCCTTCTAAGGATTAACCAAACGAGCCAAATATGTTTCGCTGGACCGTGTGCAATTCGGCGAGAGAATAGCTAGTGAACTTATAGATACAACACATGCAAGTGTTTGTGTTTCAATAAATGATTGGAAGAAAATATTGAATTGATATAGTACTGTATATTTTGTGCCAACAAGCAAACGTCCACCAATCACGAGAAATAATTGTATCATGATCCGTGAAGCCATGGTACTAAACTCAAGTAGCTAGTGAATTCAAGGAACTTACAAGGGCTTGGTCGGTGCGTAGAAGCTGATCTTGAAAGGAGGAGGTTGCTGCCGGTGAGAAGCAGGAACACTAGCAACAAGGTTGAGAGAAGGGATTGCAGTCTTATCGCCGAGGTCGTCATATGGTCAGCAGCGAAGTCCTGCTTCCGTTGTATATGGACGGTAAATTAGGAGGTGTTTTGCAGCTTTTATAATAAGAAAAAAAAAGAGACATGTATGGCATAATAGCAAAAAGACATACATGTCTCTAGATGTGTAGTAGTACCTGTCTGATATATGTAGTGTCTATCATTAAGACTAGTTACTAGTTGATATCCCGCGTTTTGCCACCGGATCTGTGGATAAATTTATATTTTACATTACAGAAATGATAGATGTACACATTTAAATAATGTGAAAATGATGTGGAGATAATGATTTGACATTAATTACATATTGAGTACTAAAAAGACAACAAAATTATGAATAATATATCATATTTGTATGATATTTAAAATATCCTAAATAATAATTATTAGTGAGTGAGATGATGTGGCACACGTGAATTTGAATAATCCTCTAGATAATAATAGCTAGTTGCTGATGATGTGACACATTTGCATGTTATCTTTAGAAGTTATAAGTGCAGAGGCCACTCAATCTATATTTTACTTGCCCCTGAAGACCGACGACTTATCCTGAAGACCGACGACTTATCCTGTCCGTGTGGATCATTGGACTCAATAATTCAAACAATCAGTTTTCAACCAAGTCGTTTTCCTGTGCATGAATTTCCAATCGAGTTGTTACCGATATCTCTTTTAGTATTGTGGAATAATTAAATATGGGACAAATCCAAATAATCTAGTGTTGGGTATTGCATTGACCCTTATAGGGTGCATATAAGAAGAGAGAGAGAGATAGAGAGAGTACACAGCTAGATACTTTGATAACGAGAAAAAAAAAACGAGTATTTTGTTCTTATCTGTACGATTCTATCCGATCTCCATCGTTTATATTTTGTATTCGACTCTGTTATCACAATGTGTAGGTATATGTGCTTCAAACAAATATGAATTCACTACTGGAGAAACATCTTTGCTCGGTTAGCCAAAATCCACTAAAAACCGAGACTAAAAGCGGTTTTTAATCCCGGTTTATAGGCGCAACGGGACTATGTAATGTTTAGTCCCGGTTCACATGTTGTCAGGGGCTGTCAGGCCCCCCTGAGATCTTAGCACCGGTTGGTGTTACCAACCGGGACTAAAGATCATACAGATCTTTACACCTAGTTGGTAACACTGTTGGCGGTCATTAGCGATCAGTTTCGACCGTCAATACTACCAAAATAAAGGAGAACTAGTTACGCTTGCAATGCATATTTATGTTTAAATAATAAATATTCCACTAGCACTAGGATTACTAACCTCTTGCAGAGAATGACCATAAAATGGAGGAGAATCGACATCAAAACAGGTGATCAATCAATCGGACGATGTCGAGAATCAGACTTATCAATGAATGGGCCAAGAACTCAGAAATGACATGATCAATTGGGTGAAAATTCACTTGTCTGCAAAGAGAAGAACTCCAGGAGGCTGCCAGCCAAAAATAGGCTGGATTGCACCAGCCCATGGTTCGTCCAAACCAGGGGGTTCGGCCGAACCACCATCTCCACCGTTGGATGCAGGGTTTTGCGTGGATGTCCACGATTGCATCCCAATGACAATTGGAGGGCATTTTTGACCATTCCAACTGTCACAACCGTCATTGGGAGGCTATAAAAGGACTTCACCTTCTCACTTTCTCCACACACCTCAAGCAAGAAGTTCATTTCATCTCTCAAGTTTAGTATAGTTTCTAGAGTATAGTGGAATAGAATTAGAATAGAATCTTCAGTCCTCGGAGTCTTTGGAAGAATTCAGGTATGGCTCTAGTCGCTTTTCCTTCTTTTGTAAGACTTGCACTTTTATTAGAATATTCTTCTTTATACTACTTTGGTATTGTATTACTTTCCGAGTATATAAATACCAACTTTACTATATGTTCAAGTTATATTCATTATGATGCTAGCTTATCCAGGAGATGCAATGGTGTGGGTATAATGATCGTATCTACGACGACTCTATGTCATGACGGTGATATTAGAGTAATATCTGGTAATTTAAGCATGGTGTTTAGATTATTGGAGATCATTATTTGGGGTTATATGCTGCAGAAACGAGGTGGGCCGCTAATGGTGACAGCTCAGTACGGGTATTCCTCCGCGCGTGTATATAGTCCTAAGTTAATTTCCAGGGGAGGGTACTCCTCCGTATTTAGCCTCGGTTGTATGGTCATGATGGATTGTCGTAAGAAACTCGGCAATTAAGGGTTGCTTCTAGAAGCACCAGGAGGGCATCGGAAAGAGGGTATTAGCTAAGTAATGATATAACTAGGATATATGTATAATATGTATATTGTTGGGTTTTGTCCCACATTGCTAATTGATGATGGGGGAGCACGACTTAAAAGGTGGGGGCGGTCCTCACCCATCAGACTGGTCTTTTAGGTTGTGTAGGCTCAGGAACTAAAGTTGTGGCTCTAGTTGTGCCTGTGGTGGAGCAGGCCCAATGTGACCTGAGTGGCCCACGGTTGGTGGGCCGGGCTGCGTACTCTCACAAGTGGTATTAAAGCCCAAGGTTTAGAACACGGAACAATTTCTATGGGTCACATGGTGGGGAGGCCGGTAACGAGTCTTCGGGGTCACATGGGTTGTTGTGACGGGAGAGATTGTTAGGCCCGAGGCCCAGGTAAGAAGTCTTCGGGTCACATGGGTGATGTGACAGGGAGATTGTTGGGCCTGATGTTGTGACGGGGGAGATTGTTGGGTTTAGTCCCACATCGGTAATTGATGATGGGGAAGCACGACTTAAAAGGTGGGGTCGATCCTCACCCATCAAACTAGTCTTTTGGGTTGTGTAGGCCTATGACCTAAAGTTGTGGCTCCGGTTGGGCCTGTGGTTGAGCAGACCCAATGTGACTTAGGTGGCCCACGGTTGGTGGGCCGGGCTGCGCACTCTCACAAGTTCATTTCTGGCCTTGGATTTGGTTAGAATAGGTGTCGAATATACTAGTTCTATTTGATTACAGTTGGACTTGAAGTTGTAATAGGTGTTAGGAGGTAGAGTTAGAGTCGGACTCTGTAACACGACATCTCTCTTAAATAGAGAGGGGGGGCACCACAATGTAACCATGGCGACTACAATGTAGCGTAGACACGCAGGGAGAGGATGGCGGCGAGGCCATGGACTCGTAGCGGCTAGGAGCTATATTGGTTGGGGAGGAGCGCCCATAATCAGAGCCCCGGGGATGTAGGCTTCGGCTGAACCTCGTTAACAAATATCGTGTGTTCCTGTGTCGTCATCTGGCGTGTCTTGAGTGATCTATGACTGAAGCGATCAGGAAGGTTAGTCGTCATTCCGCTATATCGACTAGCTTTTATAACAGTATGCATCCTAGAAGTATAGGAATATGATCTTTCTATATTCTTTCCACTTAGCTTAGATTATCATGAGTAAGAGTATGAATGCTTCTGCTTAGTGTCACTCGACCAGATGAATTATATTAACCCCTGCTTAGACTTTGGTTGATACAAGTAATATATAAATTATTAGTACGGTTCTCTCTATTATAATCTTCCCATGGGATTAAACAAATAAACTACCCATCGAATACTCTCGTGTGAAATCCTACAATGGTATATCCGTACGCTTGCGGATAAACTCTATAACCATAATATACCAGAAGTATTTCTGCGTCACTGTTGGGAATTATGTTTCTAGTAATGTCATTAAGACATACCAACAAGCATTTCTGGCATCGTTGCTGGGGAAGATTCATAAACGAGATTACCGTTACTAATATTTTATATTTACCACTTGTAGAATCACTGTCCTTTGCTGGCTAACCTTAGTTGTTTTCACTTTTATTGTGGAAACAGGGTAGTGCATGACTAGTTTCAACTTGCCAAAAAATTTAAAGGAGAATCCAGAAGTTTTCTTTCGGAGCATCAAGCCGCAAGTCGTTGCTCCGCAGAAAACTCTTCCGACACAAAAACCAGCCATACCAGCGCCACCAACATTCAAGACTATGGCTGACAAGACCCTACGTGAATTCCCTGCTCCCTTCGCTAACAACGTGGCCACTGGGCCGCAAATCAACATGGGAGACATGGATTTCGATCTGAAGTCCAGCCTCATTACGATGGCGCATGCTAGCCCGTTCTGCGCTAAGCCTAATAAGGATGCCAATGCACATCTACAACAGTTCCTGGAGATCTGCAGCACATACATAGTGAAGGGCATCAGTCCTGACGCCGTCAGGCTACGATTGTTTCTGTTTTCCCTCCTTGGAAAAGAGAAACAGTGGTTTTATGCCAACCGTGTCACGATCAACATCTGGTACAAATGCTCAACGGCATTCCTGTCAAAGTTCTTCCCGATGGGCAAAACCAACGCCCTTCGTGGGAGAATCCTAAGTTTTCAGCAGACGAGGGATGAGTCCATTAATGGGGCGTGGGAACGACTTCAGGAATATATGGTCGCCTATCCTCATCTTGGGATGGACGACTGGCTGATTTTGCAAAATTTTTACAATGGACTCACTCCCACGTCTGGGACCACCTGGACGCGGCAGCTGGAGGAGCCTTTTTCTCTAAGACGGTTCGAGGAGCCGGCGACTTGATAGAGAAAAAGGTCTCCATTATGGGCTTTTTGACGCGAAAAACACGCACTGGCCTGAGAGATCTACTTAACTCTAGTGTAGGTCCAAAGAGATTGCCTTCAGATTTTGAGCGTGCCAGTTGGTTTGATCCTGCAACCAACGATCGGCTGGATTGCCGATGACATATCGTTCAAAGCCAAGCTGACATAACTTGCATTAGATCAGTGAGGGAAGATAAAGCGTAGAGATTATTAGATATACTCGATCGGCTGTAGATGTCAGCAATACACAGTCTATCCAATGAAATACATTTAAACCAAGTGATTGGGATAGATCAGATGATGTGCTGAGATAGTATAAATTACTTAATATCTAAATGTGTCTCAAAGTAGAGATTGTGAATTCTTACAGCATAGCCAATAGAGCAAACCCAATGTGTATCGGCTAGTACTCCGATACAACCTTATACTAAGATACCAGGATAAATAAAATATATAAAACGCAGATCAATATAGCAAGTAAGATGGACTGGAAGACTGATAAAGAGCAAGATATGCTTCAAATAAACAAGATCTTAATATAAAGGGCAGATTTAGAAGATCGAGAACCATATAAGGCACAAGACAACTAAACCAGGTAAGATCGGCTGAAACCCCGATGCTATCTCTATTAGAATTCATTGAAAAAGCTAGAGAAAACGGTTCAAGACATCACTTAAAATATCGAACCTAACCAATGCAGCATTAAGCGTGAAAAGAAACATGAGATTTAAACAAATCGATGAAGACTCATTCAAGATGGTAGATACACTATGTAATCTAGCTCAATATCGATATCTATATCTATCGGCCGTTTTCGATGATAGAGGCTAGCCGATGGAGTTAGATGACGGGATCGATCTAGATTATACAGCATATATGATAACTCGATGATTTACATAGACAGGATTAGTGTGTCATAGAGATGTAAGCACTAATCCCGAGAATGCAAACCGCCATAACAAGCTTTACCTCTTCGTCGGAGATCGAACTCGATGCAGCCCAACTCGAAAGTAAAAACTCGTCAAAATAATGAAAATAGAAAAGGGTGGTGATGCGCCAATGTATTTTTGAACCGTCGTCCCTTGTTTACAAGGTGTCGGGTCATATTTATACCCAAAGTACAAACATGTCCTTGCTGGACACGACTCTATCAATATTACAATTTAAAATACGAACAAGTCCCTTAGGCGGACTCTTAGCAAACATATCCGTAAGGAAACTGAAAATATCCTAATTAATAGATACAATTGCCTTTTTCTGGACTTCAATCCTCGCGTGGCAATGCCTATCAAGTACTTTGACTAACCCTGATGATAGATGTGGGATTGTCTTTCCGAGGCTGCCTGCATCGACTTATCTCCGTTGGATTTGGCACCAGCTGATATATATACGGCAGCCTATGCTGCTCATAGCCGACACGCACTCTGCTTTTCTTAGACAGAATTCATCCACATCAGCTTCGATTCTGGCTTTGGATCCAGCCCATGGCCTCACCAAATTTGGTCGTTAACAAATGCCCCCAAGTCCCCGATGTTAGGGATGTTGTAGATTTGTTAGATTCCGTTTCAGTTTGTATCTAGAGTTTCTTTTCTGTTTCGGCTGGTGCCGCGTCCTCCTTTAAATAGAACCACCTTCTCGAAAAAATTCCACGGTGTCCCTTCCGCTTCTTTTGCCTTCAGTCAACGGAGCACCCTACTCCTTCCGTCAGTTTTCTCGGCGACTACATAGGCGTTCCTTTCGACGGCGCTTGGTATTCCGGTGATGGCCGTCAATCCCTCAAGTGTTTCGGCGGCTGAGTTTCCTGAGGTAACTGCTTATCGGCTAAAACTGCTCCTGGTTCTTTCTTTTCCTTTGCGTGATTCTTTCATAGCAATCTTGACTCCTTATTCCCCCTTTTTTTTTCTACTGTAGCATCTTTCCCATTAGGTTGCAATCCCCAATCCGTGCCACCAAAACCAGTTCTTTCTGGGCCCAACCGGCAACTCAGACCCGACTCAGTTCCTCAATGCCAAAACCAACCGAATCCCCTTTAGACAAACCAACCCTAGCCTAATCCATTGGACCAACACTTTCAAGTCCTGGCCAGCTGCCAATGTCAAGACATGGCCAGACTTGTATAAGAGACTATCGACACACAAGCAAGCCCATTGGGACGAACTAGGGATTTCTCAATGTCTGCTTCTTACTTTAGCCGATATGAAGAGAGATGAATCCATGCTATCGGCTGCAACTTATTTCTGGTCCGACACCCTCAATGCTTTCTTATTTGGTTAGGGGCCGATGACGCCAACTCTTTTAGATATAGTCATGATCACTGGCTTGGATGTCACGTCGGCAGCCAACTCAGTTAGTCTGAACTCTAAAGGCCAATTTTCCTATAAGACCAAGAGTATAGGTGGTTGGACTAGTTTTATCACTACAAACACGGGGACTGGTCTGGTTACCCTGAAGGAAAAGTTAAGCTTTCTGGCCGAAAAGTTCCTGTTATGTGGCCCAAGCTGTGGCCCTACCTCCAACTAGTAGCATCTGGCCGAAGCCCTTGCAGAGAAAAGGCAGTTTCCCTTGGGCAAACATCTCTTGGGAGCCCTGTATCAATCTTTGGGCTCAGCATCGGCCAGGATTGCCGTGGACTCTGTCATCGGCACTGGTGACCCTTGGTGGCTTTTGCAGACATGGCTCAACCTTCACACGATTAAAGTGTCTGGAAGATCGGCCCTAACCATGATGAGCTTCCCAACCCTCGAGCCTACTGAAGATGATGAAGGGAACCTGGTTAAAACTCACCGATGCACGTCTTTTGGGGAAGTGGCCTTTGCTTATCTTGGGTCAGATCTATCGGTTGAACTACTCTTTGATTGGTTTAATAACTTCTATGATGGATTTCCAAAGAACTCCAGGATCTGGTTTGCCTACGAGCATTCCCAAGACTTCGAACTCCCAGCCGATTTCAGATTTGAGGAAATCAATCACGTGAGGTTTGAGCAGTCTAGGATGGTTTTGTCAACAGCTATTTCTCCCTGCATCCTCCCCGCCGGCATTCATCAAGGTCGCAACATCCAGATTTTGTATGAATCCTACCATCCTATGAGTGCTGCAAGACAACTTGGACTGGGTCAGCTACCTATCGGCTTGTTCTTTGTGGACAAGATCCAATCTAGAGGGTAATTATATCGGCTCTCATGATGGATAGACTTCTGAATATTCCAGGGCCGCCATTGGGCAGCATTGATAATATCGAGCTGGCCCTGATCAGGAGGCAACCTTTGACCGCTGGCGGGTCGAGTGGAAAAAGCACCTCTTCCACCAATCGGCTTCGATGTATATGACCACTATGTTCCCGGATCAGATCCCGCAAGTAAGCGTTTTTCCTCTATCGCAAACTATTTTGCTGAACCGATGCCAATACTTATTTACTGACTCTTCAATCTCTTCTTTTGTTTTGCAGGCCACAGACTCCTTACCTCCCCACATTGGCCAAAGCGGGGAACCCATAAATTATGCTGCGGGGATTATTCCGAACGGTGGGGGGCTCGCTCACTCCATCATCGGTTATAATGCTCCGAGGAAATCTTCATTGCTCCATGGTCTACCTCGTGAACCTATTGAAACTGGTAGGAGAAAAAGGGCCAAGCCGTCGGATGCCAAATCTCCCCCCAAAGAAAAAACTACAAAGAAATAGAAGGCAGCCGCTGTCGAAGATTTTCCGACCATAGACCCGGACGTGGAGGAGTGCCTGGAGAACGAGGAAATGGATGAGGCCATCGACGATGCTGCTGCTGATGTAAGCGAAATGAGAGTGGCGGGGCCAACATCTCCAGCCAATCCACCAAGCCCACAAAACACTTCAAGCCCCCCGAAACGCCAACCAGTATTGCTTTTTACTGCTTCCTCCTTCTTACTATGGTTATACCTTCAACTTATACATGCTTTCTACATTTGAAGAGGAAGAAATTGGCCTCCAAGAAGAAGAAGCCACCAGTACCGCCCCCATCAGTAATTTGCAACTCAATCTTTCTCCCGTTATCGATCACGTAATGTCAAACTTATTCTTCTTTTTTCAGCCTCCTCGCTTCCCATCCCCTTCTCGACATGAGTAAAGCGAGCGGACTCCATTGGCTAGAGACAACCCTCATACGGAAATGCCAGAACAGTCGATCCCTGCTGCACCCATAAGTATTCGGACTTACACATATGGGCCACGATGTTTGCATCATTAACATATGGAACAACAAAGAACGAATCATTGTAGTGTTAACGGAACCTTAAAATGATTGAAAGAAAGGAAGCCGGAAAATTGGATGAAGTCATATGGTCGAAGAACAGGTATGAAAAACATACACTGGGAATGAGATTAGACGTAGGCTTAGGCGGATGGTTCGATTTGGCAAGATCTACTTGACGATGATACGGTGACTTAATTTAAGGATGTGTAATGAGGCGAGAGAAAAGGAAACCTTCAGGGTAAATTAGTGTGAGATACTGAGATCTAACTGGCCATTACAGCCGTAATAGATGCCCTTGCCGTTTTCACGAAGCTGAAACGTTGCCCTGCACAGCACGTAGAAATAGAGTATCAACACCTGGGCCAACTGCTTAGCGAGACTTTGGTTGGGCTCGGCTGAATCATATGATTGGGCCAGGGCGAGGAGAACAGGAAAGATCAAATGGTCTATAGTGCTCATCCTAATTGATCGGACGGCTGGTATTAGATGATGACGTGGCCTCACAGATTTTGAGCTTTATAGCAATCAATGATTTTTAGTGGGTACCAATTATATAAAAAGAAAGGATTATGTTGGTCTAAGGGCGATAACAGTACTACGAAAACCATTTTTCGTGGCGGCCATTTTGGATTTTTGCTGGCGGGATTTGCAGCCGCTAAAAAGCGAAGGCCAGTGAAAATCAAGATCTTCGCTAGTGGTTATTGACCGCCAGCAAAAAACCATTTTTGCTGGCGTTGGCTTAAGACGGCCGCCAGCGAAAATCTATTTTCGCTGGCGGCTGTGTTAATTTGGCTGCCAGCGAAAATGGATTTGGGGAACAAAAAAAAAACCCGCATGCAGCTACCCAGCCGCCAGCGAAAATACCCATGTAGCCGCCCATTAATTCATTAATTAATTTCAAATTTCAAATTCACATCTAGATTCGCTGCTCATTTCCAAATTCAAACACGAAATACAAAATCATCATCAGCACAGATCAAACATGATTTACACATCATCTGGAACAACATGGAAAAAGAAAAGGAAAAAAATCAAAATGATTTACACATCATCCGCAGGAGCACGGTC